TTCAGCAGATACACTTCAGTCATCTTCTTTTTCTTCCTGATGTATATAATGAGGACAATAAACAGTAGAATGTTACTGGCCAATCCGACCAGGAAGACCACAGTGTAAAAAATAGGCAAGAATACTCTGCCAAAAGAGAGTATCTCTTCTTTTGTGCAGGGGCTATACTGCATGTAATCCTCCTCGTCCAAGTACTCGTACGGGTAGCTGCTTGAATTGTCAGCGTCCAGCAAGGTGGCAGTAGTTGTTGTTGTCATCTCTGAAGCTGCATTTGACAAGTGGCTGCCTAGAAGCAAAATGTTGTTCCAATCCATGCAGGAAAAGCAAACATCATTCCTCTAGTTTATAGATTTAACTTTCTGCCAACTTCTGATACCTATTTTGCGTCCTGCACTCCTTGGTCTTTGCCTATGGGATGGGGACAGCTGTCTACACATAAATATATATTAAAAAATCTTTCTGGTTTCCTTACTCCCACACATTAAAGCTTGAAAGTAAATGAGCACAGTCTCTTCTGACATGACTCACCACTTCCTCCTGATATCACTGCAAGCTTTTGAGGAAGTTTCTGCTCTAAATTATGGGAAATCCACCACTACAACTTGCTGTGAGCTGCTTTTGATTCACCCAGGTTGCTACTTAGAAAGTGGCATCTCAATTATTGGTGAAGCAGAACCTGCCACCAGCCCCTTTATGTTGGTGGGGCTGCTCCCAGAGGTGAAACACTGAACACCTCACTGCTCCTGGCAGGACACTGACCCCTCTCTGTGCCAACTCTAGGACATAAAGCCATGGATTCTTCTAAAACAAATTAGTAAGTGGAAAATACAGAATCATAGAATCATAGAATTATAGAGTGTTTTGGGTGGGAAAGGACCTTAAAAATCATCTAGTTCCAACCCCCTGCCATGAGCAGGGACACCCTTCACTAGATCAGGTTGCTCAAAGCCCCATCCAAGGTAAGGACATGCAGGCACCAGAATCAACTCCTCAATCAAGGTTAGAGGTAGGGGTTAGATTTAGCTGGAAAAATATTGCTGGAATGTATTCTGTGTGAGGCAAGGCGTGGGTTGAAACCCTGCTGACCGAGGAGGGTGAGGTCCATGCGGTTGGCCACTCCCCAGAGCTGCAGGCTGGCGTCAGTTTTTAGACAGCTGCAGCCCAGATTTCAGGAAATGGTAACTGATTTTGGAGACCTTCCTGTTTTTGGAGTCTGTTTTTTCAGAAGAAAGCCCACACACAAGAACGCAAGAAAAGTTTCATCTTCCAAAAGCCTCTCAAACTGGGCAACGACTGTCACTGAAGAGCCCATCTCCTGCAGTGGGAGATGGGATCTGCCTGAGCCACCTCCACCTCCCATCAGCTATGAAGCTTAATGTGGTTTTGAAAAATCAAGACTAATCCTCAGGCTCTGAGAGCAAACCAGAGCTGGCACAGGGAAAGAATAGTACAAATACCTCTCCACCCCTAAAACATACCATTTTTCAGCCACGGCCAAAACTGCCAACCTTTCCCCTGGGGCTCATTTTTCCAGCAATCCCACAACAGGCATGCCTGTGTAGTTCCCTGCCTGCAGCCACTCCTGCCTTGCTCTCTCGAGGACCTGTCTCTCCCATTACTCAAAACA